GGGGGGGGGGGGGGGGGGGGGGGGATAATCTCCGGCACGTCTTTGATTTCACGAAGCGGTAAATTCATGTTTTTACAAGATGCTCGAAAGAATTCGCTACAGTCACTTCGAAGTCATGTGTCATGCTCTCTGCTCTTCCCCCCCCCTCATACCCATGCTGTATTAATCACCCAGATGATTAACATCCCGCTATCACTATGGTGACAGTGAACATTTCCTGTTGTTCTAAGGGTTGGGTATGAATCAAGCAAGTGGAGCATGTATAGGCCAATCCGACTTGGTCTAGAATCAAGCATGCAGCATAAACGTGACACATTTTGGAAACGGGTTTTCTAAAGGCACCGTCACACCAGGATACACATGCTGTACTGGGAACCTGCAAAAAACAGAGCAAACTTTTTCTTGCATCTCTGCTCCTCGCCCTGTATGGCGTGGTATGCTACTCAGTCATCTCTCGAAATAGAAAGTTGAAGGCAACTTGAGAATCTGGACTCGACAGCACAGCGCACACTAGGCAAGACTGATGTAGCAAAGGGAGATGCAACTCAGCAATGAGATGCATTAGGTCTGTGCAGGAAGTTCACGTGGCCAGTGGATCAGTTAGCTGTGGTGTGAATCAATTCTTCACTTTGAGAGCCAGACTGGACACCTTAAAAACCTTTGGTTTGCTTGTGGTGGTGTTTTTTTTTTCCTCTTCCTTTCTCCTCCTCCACTCCAAGAGAAAGGGGGTCAGATGTCCTACTCCTATATCTGCCCCAGGCCTGCTGAACAATCTCAAAGTGGCTTCATTTCCTACCATCTTTGCTTTCCAGCTGCAAAACTGGGAACACATCTTATGCACCTCCTTGGAGGTACTGGGAGACTTCTTCGGTGGTTTTAAAAAACCTTTGGAGATCCTTCTTTAGAAGGCATTCTAGATGTGCACAGTATTTTCACCCTCAAAGTCAACAGCAGGAAGCAACTGCAAAAGGACGCTTGAAAAACCAGACAGGCTTGTTAAAAGACAGCGAACAAGGTCCCACAACTGCGTGGGATTTTTTCTCCTGATGCTTCCAGCAAAGTTGATGATACAACAAGCTCTGATGACCCAGGCAGAGAAATGCAATTAACATATTAATACAAATAAGATTTAAAGCAATTTGACTGCAGTACTTGGGTTAGAGATTCTGAAGGGAGAAAGTGGTAGTAGCTCTTGGGCTGGGGCCTGTGTTTGGGTTGCCTTATTCATTAAGCCCACACCTAGGACAACGGTAGCCTGGAACTACAGGGGCGTTTGGACAATACTGGAGTAAGTGCACTGGAAACAGGCCACAGGCTGTGGGTAGAGGTGATTTCAACAGGAAGTGTTGAGATTCACTGAAGTAGTGAGGGGCAAGAAGCCAAGTCTCTCTCTATTCAGCACTCTCCAGGACCAGGGTGTTGAAGTCTTCTAGGAGATGCAATAGGTCCCATTAAAGATAAGGAAAGCGCATGGGGATTTTAATCTGCTGCAAGCCAATGTGAATGTTAAAGGAACATGATAAAGAGGAGGGAGTTGTGTGGAGGAGCCACATCTTTCATTTCCTCTGGCACTGAGACTGCAGAGTTGTCAAACCATCCAGGATCCAAAGAGCACTACTTAGGTAACAGGAACCATAGGTGTTTGCTGCAGCTGTCTGGACCAGCAGTGTCTAACAGCACTTATAAATGTGAGCAGGGCTTAATGGAAGGAAGCTCGCAAAACTGCATCAGTAGAGATGTGTGTGTAGAAACCAGATGCAACATGACAAACACCAAGACTTGAAGTAGGTGCATGTGTATAAGGGACAAAGTGGCCAGAGGTCTGTTTTAACAGCAGCAGATGCGGAAGGCTCTGCTGGCAAAGGAAGACAGTGGTAGCATTCAGCTTGCGCCCTGGATGTCAAGTACTGTAGAGGATCTGCCGTTTGACTCTCCGGGTAGAAGGGGTGAGGGCTGTTCAGCCTAGCAGCAACCATTCAGCTTTTGCGACATCTGGGTTTTCCCATAGGAAACCAGGGGCCAAACTCTTTTACGATCATTTGAAAAGCATCCCCTGCCCCCTTCAACAAAATGTTTCATTAGAACAGATGGTATCGAATCTGGTTCGCCACATGTCAACACTTACAAAGAAAGAAATAAGCCTTTACAGTGATACTGCATCCCCTGAAGCATGCTGGATCTCAAAGATAAACCAGTGCTACAGCTCTTCCTGCATCGCCCCATCGTCATGCTAGTCCCAGGTCCTACTCGAGACCTAAATCAATTTACTTTGTCTTCTATGCGTGTCAAGTAAGCAAGGGATCCGAGTCCTTATCCCAAGTAGAGTGCGCTGCTCAGGACTCTCACTATTAAGCAAAATGGCAGCTGGTGCTTTCTGCCAATAACTCCAAGCTTGGCTGGCACTGAGGTGTTTGGAAGCGACTGGTTTAACCGCTCGCCTTGTTGCTGTTGCCTGTACATCATTGGAAGCTCAGAGAAAGCGTACAAAGTTGTTTAAAATGCTGCAGTTTGTGATGCGTTTGTGCCAAGCAGTGGCCATTTCACTGCTTGGAAATGCTTTAGGTCACTGGGCTGAGAGAAAACACGCAGAACAAACCACAGGGCGCTTACGTTAACAATACAGAAAGACTAACCTGCTCTGAGTCCAGGGAGGACGTGGAAGCAATATGACGCATGCTCTGTATCACCTTTCCACAAGGCTTCTGACACGGTGGAGTGCCAGAGGGGAGGATTTAAGTGTAGAGCCTAAAGATCAATCAGGACTCATGGTAGAGGTAATATCTTTTGTTAGACCAGCTAGATTTTTGCAAAAAAAGTATTTAATTGCAAGCTTTCGGGCACAAACACCCTTCTTCAGGCATTGGAGAAAAGACTGTAAAAAGACATCACCTCTACCATGAGTCCTGATTGCTTTTTCCTCTAGACCAATACAGCTACAACCTGGGAGCCTGAAGATCTGCATTCGTCTGACTTCAGGAAGGCAATTTAAAGAACACCAGCCAAATGGATGGGATCGGACTAAGAAAGCTACTGTGAAAAACAAGAAGGAGCCGTAATTAAGCTGAGGAAAGGTCAAGGGCTCAATTTCTTTGCAAAGCAGCAGCAGTTAGTGGTCTGGAACAGAGAGAACACCACACACAAATTGCAACGCATTTGATTATAGCCAGAGCAGGGAGACTGGGGAGTGGAAAAGCTGACCTGGGGGTAGGCTGGGGGCAGACAGGCTCCTTTTCCCCTTACTGCACTGAAATCCAAATGGAGACCTCAGCTAAGCCAGCCAGGCCTTCGTATGCTCCTACGACTGATTTGAAATTCATCAGTGATTACTCACAAGGGGTGATGGCCTCATTAGAGGGAGAGCTTTTGGGGAGCTGATGAATTCCAGCCTCATCAGTGCAAGGGCTGTTGTGAGCTGAATGCTAATTCCACCACTTCTAGAGGTGGTTTCCCGCGCCGATGTGGGAGAAGAGAAAAAGACCTGGAAGTCTTTGGAGTGCGCAAACTGCTGGCATACGAAAAGGGACTGCTCTTAAAATTGTTAATGAAGACAATTAAAGTAATCAAAAGTCACATTTTGTTAGCGTCTGAGAACCTTGTTGCCAAATCTATGCCAATTAGCAACCCCCGGCTCTGGGCTGCTCACGTGTTCAGTGTTATACCGTCCGCAGCAGCATTTGACGCAATTGGAAATCCAGCATTGCAGTTCCAGCCAAGGCAACCACTTAATTCAGCCTAAAGGACCTTTCCCAGTTGAGCAGCCTTGAAAGATGAGAATACTGCTGTTAATGTAAGTGCCTGGGGCAGGGACCATGTCTTTGTTCTCTCTCTGAGGCACCATTGACAACATGTTAGCTACTAAACAAGCTACTTGGGTTTGTCCTAAGGGGACTGCCCTTGGCGGCCATCTCAGATTTGGCTTTGGAGAAGTGCTTCTCCCACAGAGGTTGGAAATGAAGCAGATCTCATAAGTCAGAGTCCACACCAAGGCAGCTAGCACGTAATAGCACCGCGTGTAAAAGTTGCTCTGTTTTTAGAAACGAAATTTTACTTCCATCTGTAAGACACGCTGTAGCAAATCTGTTGCCACGTCCATTACAACTTCAGTTATTCTGTAAGGAACGTATTTAAACAAAAAGAAGCATCTCTACAAGACTTTGTACTAATTTCACTACATTTCGACACAGACCGTTAAGACCAGTGCACGGGCGAGCACAGATAAAACCCAGGGTGCATACACAGCACGATCGAAAGGCAGCTGGTGAGTTTAAGGGTGGGCCTACACTGAAAGCTTTGGTGGCACAGCAAACCTGGCAAACTTGCTTAGTGAAGCAGCAGCTTCCAGTAGCTGAAGTTGTTGTTTGCTTGGGCACCTTCGGCCAGTAGCACAGAGGGAACAAACCATGCCAGCGAAAGGAGTCTGCCAGGGTAGGTATAGGTAAGCCAGACTTCAGGAACACAGATCTGTGGCAAGAAAACATGAGAGATACTGGCAAAGGAGGGGACAGAGAAATGAGACCTGTAATATATTTGGAGGTTTTTGCTGTATCTAAAGATCATGTCAACAAGGTGAGTTTTTCAAGCAGAGGCAGATGTGTTGCCTGGCAGGCTAACTCCACAGGTGAGAGAGAAACATGAGGCCTCTCCCACAGAGCCACGTGAGAAGGCCTCAGGAGCAGGTAGCACCGCTTTGTTTATTCAGGCAGTTTACCCCCGAGCTTGGCTAAACCACATCAAGAGTACACCTTCGGCAGGGGAAAGAGCTGCCAAACATTACGCAATGAAAACATGCGGAGAAATTAAAGCTTAAGTGTTCTGTAGATGGGGAAGTGAGCTAAATCGACAGGGGCTCTGGTCACAGAAGAGTAAGAAGGGATTGGAGGAGTGAGGAAAGCAAGATGGACGGAAAGCAGCAGCAAATGTTTCTCAGAATACAGGCAGTCCTCCACTTACACCAATTATAAATGGACACCCTGTTTCAACTTTCTGACGTCAGTTTCAGCTTACAACACTTGATCCGATGCGACGCCATGCCAGCAAACAGGTCGCTGTCACCCATCTCCCTGGAGAACATCTGTCCAAACTTGCTTGGACACTTTCTTTAAGAAAACAAACAAGACTCCAGAAAAACCTGCAGCCAGCACTCCTGAGAAGACTCCAGCCAAGAGCCCTTCAAAAAGTCCAGCAAAGTCACCTCAAAGAAGTCCTTCCGAATCAATATGATTGCTATTTACGATATAAATACAGTAATGTAGCTATATCACTCATCTAGAATTGATTGAGTACAAAATTCTGGGGTATTTTTGGTGAAAATAGGGTATCAGGCCTTGGTTCAGGAACCAATCCCCCATTCAGAACATTGTTTCTGATAAGAAAATTGGTTCCGAGTTGCAACGTTTCGACTTAAGACGACAAGGTTTTCAGGAACCAATTGTGTCCTAAGTCCAAGGACTGCCTATACTGTCAAACGTTAAACCACGTTTTTATGAGTTGTTAACATGGACGGTGCAATTCTGATGTGCCTGTTTCTGAGCAGAGTGGAAGGTAACACCTATCTGCACTCCCAGGGAAAGTGAGAATCAGCTTGTGACAAGGTTCTTCTTTCAGAAATGCATTTTCATGAACTTGTTAAAGAAACTCAACGCTTTGCCAGTGTCTGCCTTTGGAAGACAGCACGAGCTGGTGTGTCAAGAGCAGAGCTGAACAACACTGCGAGAGCTACTGCACAGAATGCACGGACGTTCTGTCCTACCGTTTGTGTCATGGGCGTTGAAGGCTGTGCGTTTGGAGGGAACAGATTGGAGACTACCACCTCTGACCTTCCGTGGCTTTGCAAGAGAAGGGGAGTTGCTCATCTAACCTGGTGTGCAGCTTTCCCAACCCGAAAGAACTATCCTCTTTCGGTGCCAGTCTCATAAGCAGGGAGCAAGGCTTAAACGTCTCTGAACTCTCACTCCTCCACCCCTGCTATCTGTGCCTTACAGGGCAAGGCAGAATTACCCAGTGATAAGTATAGCTTAGTTTGTGGCACTGAAACCTCTCCTGCCAAACACCTTGCCTGGAAGTGTATTTAGCACATAGCCCCCACTGTTTGTTTGGCTACTTCGTGCTCGCTGCAAAGAATGTCACTGGACTACTGGAGCAGGAGTGAGTGCCCACAAACTCCAGGCCTCCCATGGAGGCAGCTGAGCACACAGATTGCTCCTCCACCCACATTCAAATCAGTACATGCCCAAGGCTAATGAACAGCCTCAGATGGTCTGCTTCAGTTAGGCAATCCCTAAACTACTTTATGGGACACCCACTGAGCACGGCTGGTTGAAATTCAAGTGCATACAGAGACAAGAAGGATGACGAAAGCTTTATTGGGTTCCAGATGAACCAGACTTTGGCCAGTTACAGGACAGCAGAGTTGATGGCAAAGGTAAGTTACCAACATGCATGACTTGGTGAAAAGAGCCAAGGCTGTATTCAAACAAGCAGGTGCCCAGATTCAAGCCAGAGCTGCACCACAGAATGCCACGTGCCATCAACTGGACTGGCAGACACCTCGAGAACCCCGTCAGATCTATTCTCCAAGGGCGTTTATACCCATGCTCCAGGAGGTGGGGGGGTTGAATGAACTTTAGCTTAAAGCACCCCTTCTCCATTTTGCAGTGCGAGGACACTGATGCACGTGACACTGGATGCTGCTGGAGCAAATTAATTTCCACGCTCCGACAGACTCAAAGCTGGAATTACGGCATGTCCGAGCAGGCTCCCTGCACATGTACAGGAGCTCCAAGGGACCCAAACTCTACCAGGTAGGAAGTAAGCGGTGTGAATTGCAAAAGTGGCTCATTTCCCTCAATGACCCTCTTAGGGGGAGCATCTTCCAGAACAGTAAGTTACTCCAAACCATAAGTGTTTGAATACAGCCCTAGAGAGAACGGAAACCTAGAAAGATCTTGATACGCAACATGCATCAATCACTTCTATTAAATACTGGCAGGCTCAGTGAGAGGAGTCACATGAAAGGCAGAAAAAGGAGCAACGGTGACCCATCTACTCTGTTTTAAATAGGAAAGGATCAAGCAACATGCTGCACTGGCATTTCATGGGCTTCGGGCTTCAAGAGAAAGGAATCCGTTTTATAAAGTCAGTTCGTTGTGTAAGTCCATTTCCTCAGCTGCTATTAGCCTGCTTGCATGCTGCCTAGCCACACTTCGGGTTGAAGAGAGCAATCTGCTCCGAACTCCGAGTGAATTGCAACGGTAGAAGCAGCTCAGAGATACAAGAAATGAAAGGAGCCTGGTATTTAGGCCGCTGCTGTCTGGTTAAAATACTAGGCTGACCCAGCTTGCCTGTTTGCTTAATTTATTGAATTTCAGAGGTGCACATTAAAGCGTTAAGATCGAGTGCTTTGCATTCCTCAGTCTGTACAAGTTCCTTCAACCACCTGGATTACACAGGCTTTACAGAGAGAAGCATTGGAATACAAGATAAAACAAGTCTAAATCCCAAAATCACTGCAAGAAAAAAAAAACCCCAAAGGTGTAGAAAATAAAAACAAAACAAAAAACCCCCCAAA